TGGTCCCGAAGTGGGATCAGCCAGTGCCACAAAGACCGGCGCAGGAAGCGGAGTAAGCTTCGTGTGGTCGCGGAAGAAACAGTGCGAAGCTCCGGAGTCCAGAGTGAAAGACAGCGAACTGTCCTCCAGAGCAGCTCCTGGACTAGTGTCTGCACAAGTACCTACGCTAGCAACAGGCACCTCAGCAACACTAGCACCTAAGCTAACAACACTCGAGTAAACAGAGTCAGAAGCACTAGAATCAACAACAGCATACATAGCATGAGGAGTTCCTAAGAGATCAAGCAACTGAGAAGCCGACATACCCCACAGAGCGGGGCCGTACGTCTGAACAAGGGGAAGCCAGTCAGGGGCAGGGCCGTCAACGCCGTAGGCCGCACGAAGTGTGTCAGTGAGCTGAGCAAAGCACTGGCCCGGTGGGTGGGTGCGGCCACAGGGGAGGCCTTGGCGAGCACCTGTCTGAACAAGATAGGTGCAGGGAGGGTGGACGGCACCACGCGACAGCTAACGCGGTCCTAACCCCTGCCACGGAGCCTGCTGCTGCCTCTGCTGCTGCTGTGGCTGCTGCGAGAGGAGGGGCTGCTGCTGCCGCTGAGTCAGGTACCAAGCCGCCACTCCAGCACCTGCAGCTGGCGGACCAGCAGGTGCCTGACGAACCCGAGCGTCACCTCCACCAGCTGCAGTAGAGGAGCCACTAGCCGCTGCACGCGGAGCTCCTCCAGCCTCTGTACTCCCGCCACCGCCGCTCGCCACGCCACCTCCGCCGCCTCCGCCGCCTCCGCCGCCTCCGCCCGCACCCTGACCGCCCCTCCTGCCACTCCTACCCCTAGACCGCGAAGAAGTCGTAACAACAGCTGCGGTCACGTCAGTAGCGGCAGTGGCGAGGGAGGCAGTAAAGGTGGGAAGCTGAGGGACAGTGCACCCGTGAAACAGTGGAGGGGGCACAGCACCAGAGGCGGAGGCTACCGAGCGGAGGTTGCTCTCGACGTCCTTGAGGGCAGACTCAAGGACCTCGATAGTGAGCTTGCTAGGGTGCTTCAGAAGAAGAGCGTCACGAACCGAGGCAAGGCGGTCAGGGAGACTAGTGGCGATGAAATAGATAGTAATCGCCATAGGGGGAGGGAGCAGTGCAAGCTGCGCGTCAGTGCAGGCAGCGCGGTAGCTAGAATCAAGTGACCGCAGGTGAGCGATCAAGTCAGCAGAGCGCTCAAACGAGGCGAGGTCAGGAAACAGGAACGGGAGGAAAAGTCGACCAAGAGAGACAGTGGTGGGAGTAGCGTAGCGAGCCTTGATCGCAGTCAGGAACTCACTAGCAATGGGAACCTGAGTGAAGTGGGCTTCCTCAGACTCAGAGAGGAGGCTACTAAGGGCGATGCAGGCCGCAGCGTCACGCGACTTCCACGCTGTCAAGTCAGCACGCTGGCGTGCAAAACGGTCTCTGTCTGCAGTGCTAGCGTCAACGCCTAAGGGTGCAGGAGCAGGGGGCGCAGGAAGGTCACCGGAAGCGTGCGCCCACAGAGACTCGTCTGCCTGAACCTGACTCTCTAGGAGGCGGCGCACACGCAGGAGCCAGACCGAGAACTCGAGTGGCCTACCGTCAGCGTCAAAGCGCAGGACCCTAGGGGTCGCCATAGCGGAAGCGAAGAGGTGGGAACTACTGCTGCCGAAACCCTAAAACGCCTAAAGGGCCTAAGTAGGGCGTGACAGGCAGTGGGTGAGGCTCAAGGCACTGCAGGACGGTAGGGTAGGGCGCGACGTGGCGCTGCGCGGCAGGCAGGACGGGACGCGCGCGGCTCGGCGCCGCGCGGCAGGCAGAACGGGACGCGTGCGGCTTGGTGCCGCGCGGCAGGCAGAACGGGACGGGCGCGGCGTGGCGCTGCGGGACGGGCAGGCACGGCGCACGCGACGGGACAGACGGGACGGGCGCGACGAGCTAGACGGGACGGGACAGACGCGACGCGACGGACGGGACAGACGCGACGGGACGGGACGACGGGACGGGACGACGGGACGGGACGGGACGCGACGCGACGCGACGGGACGGGACGGGCGCTACGGGCGCTTCGGGCGCTACGGGCGTTACGGGCGCTTCGGGCGCTACGGGCGCTACGGGCGCTAGCTACGGGCGTCGGGCGTGGTAGGCTAGGCGCAACGAGAGCCAGGGAACGAGACGAACCGGCGTGACAGGCGCTAGGGGACGATACGGGCGCAACGGGCGTTAGGGTACGAGACGAACCGGCGTGACAGGTGTTAGGAGACGGTACGGGAGGAACGGGATCCCACAAGATCCTAACCTATCTGATACCTAACCCTAACTGTTGTACCCCATATGACACACATCACTAAGGCTATAACATCTGACATTGACATTTTCCAATCACTGCACATAATCAGTGGGTTGAAAAAAAATGGCTACACCACGAATAAACCAGGAGGACTAAAGCAAGAATGTACAATATATACATAGACATGGTGTCTTTTCACGCAATGGTTTCATCTCCCAAACCCTACGGTATACCAGCAACACCACTCACTCCCATCATCTCATGCACACAAGGATAACAAAAGGCACACTCACTCTGAGGCTACAACCTCCCAACCAACCCAGCCCCCTCACTCATGCTTGAACCTAGCAGCCAGCTTTTCCAGGAATGCCTGCACGCCTTCCTTCTGCCCCCCCAGAACAAGCCCTTCACCACACGAGGGGAAGAGACAGACGGAACTGGCTCTATCAACCCACCACACCCCACTTATCACTCATGCTTGAACCTAGCAGCCCGCTTTTCCAGGAACGCCTGCACTGCATGCCTTCCTTCTGATCATCAAGAGCAAAGCAGGAAAGGTAGAGTGTTCGCTCCCCTGCCAGCCCTTCAGCCAGCAACCCGTTGAACGCCGCGTTGAACTCTGCCTCTATCTCCGCCCCTCAGTCCGCCAAAATGTTTGGGTAGTGCAGTTTGGGAGCTCTGCTTGGCCATCGCTACTGCCGGTTGCGACAGCGATGCTATCTTGGCAGCTGTTGCGATGGCTGCCTTCAGCAGCTCTTCTGGTGGGCCTGGGATCTGGGGGAATCGAACGGGAAACGAGAGGAATGGTGGTGAGTGCAGCGTTGATGCTCTGCTTGGCCATGGCCACGGCCGGTCGCGACAGCGATGCTATCTTGGCAGCTGTTGCGATGGCTGCCTTCACTAGCTCCTCTGGTGGGCCTGGGATCTGGGGAACGTGACGGGAAAACGAGGGGTGAACAAGGGGTATGCATGTTGGTAAATGCAGCGTTGATGCTCTGCTTGGCCATGGCCACGGCCGGTTGTGACAGCGATGCTATCTTGGCAGCTGTTGCGGTGGCCGCTCTAACCAGCTCTTCTGGTGGGCCTGGGATCTGGGAAAGCCATGGGAACAACAAGCATGAGGCGCATGTAGGCAGGCACGTCTGAGTTGACGCTCTGCTTCGCCAGGGCTGCAGCTGGTTGAAACGCCCACCGCTGCAATATGCAACTCAACACAGACAGACTCGTTATAAACTCACCACTCTGCTGACCAACCCAGACAGTGCCACCTCATTAGCATACATAAAGAACGCCCTTGTAGAATCATCTCCATTGCCGTGTGTGATAAGTCGATTTTTTAGTCGACTCAAAAATCGACTTGCCACCTCATTAGCTCCCTTGTAAGAAATCATCTCCATTGCGCGTGCCTTGCTCCAGATCCCGCTTACTTAACCCTACTCCGTGTACAACGCACCACTCTGCTAACCAGCCCAGCGCGTGCAGCTTCTTCTGCATCCGTGAAGCACTCCCTCGTGAGAATCATCTCCATGGCACGTGCCTTGCCCGGATTTCATACGAGCCTACTCCATATATGAAGCAACGCCCACTCACCACTCTGCTAACCAGCCCAGCGCGTGCAGCTTCTTCTGCATCCATGAAGCACTCCCCCGTGAGAATCATCTCCATGGCACGTGCCTTGCCCGGATTTCATACGAGCCTACTCCATATATGAAGCAACGCCCACTCACCACTCTGCTAACCAGCCCAGCGCGTGCAGCTTCTTCTGCATCCATGAAGCACTCCCCCGTGAGAATCATCTCCATGGCACGTGCCTTGCCCGGATTTCATACGAGCCTACTCCATATATGAAGCAACGCCCACTCACCACTCTGCTAACCAGCCCAGCGCGTGCAGCTTCTTCTGCATCCATGAAGCACTCCCCCGTGAGAATCATCTCCATGGCACGTGCCTTGCCCGGATTTCATACGAGCCTACTCCATATATGAAGCAACGCCCACTCACCACTCTGCTAACCAGTCCAGCGCGTGCAGCTTCTTCTGCATCCATGAAGCACTCCCCCGTGAGAATCATCTCCATGGCACGTGCCTTGCCCGGATTTCATACGAGCCTACTCCATATATGAAGCAACGCCCACTCACCACTCTGCTAACCAGCCCAGCGCGTGCAGCTTCTTCTGCATCCATGAAGCACTCCCCCGTGAGAATCATCTCCATGGCACGTGCCTTGCCCGGATTTCATACGAGCCTACTCCATATATGAAGCAACGCCCACTCACCACTCTGCTAACCAGCCCAGCGCGTGCAGCTTCTTCTGCATCCATGAAGCACTCCCCCGTGAGAATCATCTCCATGGCACGTGCCTTGCCCGGATTTCATACGAGCCTACTCCATATATGAAGCAACGCCCACTCACCACTCTGCTAACCAGCCCAGCGCGTGCAGCTTCTTCTGCATCCATGAAGCACTCCCCCGTGAGAATCATCTCCGTGGTACGCGCCTTGCCCAGATGCAATACAGCCAGGAACTTGCTGAGATTCAATACAAGCCGACCGTGTACAGCACAGCAGTCAGAATAAAGCAGCACTCACCACTCTACTAGCAAGCCCAGCTTGAACAGCCTCCTGGGCATCCATAAAGAACTCCCCCGTCAGAATAATCTCCATGGCGCGCGCCTTGCCCAATGCTTCAATCATTCGACTCAATACAGACATACTCGTTATAAACTCACCACTCTGCTAACGAGCCCAGCCCGCGCCGCCTCTTCTGCATCCATAAAGAGCTCCCCCGTGAGAATCATCTCCATGGCACGCGCCTTGCCCACCGCGCGAGTAAGACGCTGCGTGCCGCCCATCCCGGGAATTACCCCCAGGTTCACCTCCGGCTGGCCGAACACGGCCTTCTCACCCGCCAGGATAATGTCACACATCATTGCCAGCTCGCATCCACCTCCCAGTGCGTAGCTGTCATGAACAAAGGGGGGAAGGTGGAGCAGAGGGGTAGGGGGCCAACCGAGATAGCTTCACCTCTGGCTGCCCAAACACGGCCTTTTCACCCGCCAGGATGACGTCACACATCATCGCCAGCTCGCTTCGCACCCACCGCCCAGGGCGTACCTGGGGAGGGATGTGGGAGAGGGAGGGCGAAGGAGGGGGGGGGGGGGGGGGGTGAGGGGAGGACAAGGGTGGGTAGCTTCGCGTTGGACTGCCCAAAGACAGCCTGCTCGCCCATGAGGCCGCACATCCTACTAGGATGATGTCACACATCGTCGCCAGCTCGCACTCGCCTCCCAGTGCGTAGCTGGGGAAAGGCACGGAGCAAAGGCAAGGAAAAGGGAGGTAGGGGGAAGGAAGGTGGTTGGTGGGGGCCATGTAGGGAAGCTTCCCCTCTGGCTGGCCGAACATGAACTTCTCGCCCGCTAGGATGATGTCACACATTATCGCCAGCTCGCACCCGCCGCCCAGAGCGTAGCTGAGGAGAAATGGGGGGGAGAAGGGGAGTAGCAAAGGGGGGTAGCGTCACCTCTTGCTGCCCGAGCACAACCTACTCTCGGGGAGGGGGCAAACTGAGATAGCTTCACCTTGGACCGCCCGAAAACGGCCTTCTCGCCCGCTAGGACGATGTGTCACACATCATTGCCAACTCGCACCCGCCGCCCAGAGCGTACCTGGGGAAGACAGAAAGGAGGGAGGGGAGGGGAAAGAATTCCGCTATGTGATTGGATGCTGCATGGCTTCACATCCACTCACTCACCTGCCCACTATCCCTACTCACCCGTTCACAGCAGCAACGACAGGCTTCTTCAGCCGTCGCATTTCGTCCCACTGGCCCAGCAGGTCCCCCTTGAGCGCAGCAGCGAAGGTCAGCGGCGCCATCTCTGCTATGTCCGCCCCGGCTGCGAACGCGCGCCCCTCGCCAGTTACCACCGTCGCCCCCACCTGAAGCAGGGGGCGTACAGCACAGGCAGACACAAGGGCAGTGGTGTCTTCATTTCAAGACGTTACATACACGAGCCATAGATGAGGCTACACGCACACGTGCCAAATAGATTTTCCCGCACGCACCGAGTCCTTTCGGTCCATCCACTGCAGCGCAGATACCACCTCCCCCATAACCGCCTGTGACAGTGCGTTCAGAGCTTTCGGCCGTGCCAGGGTAATTAACCCAACCTGCCCGTCCGCCACAAGTTCCACCCGGATATTGTGGAAAATGCCTCCCCCGGGGGGCGTCTTCCCCGCGCCATCCCCACCAGGTGGAGCCTCTCCCGCCGCGCCGTTTCCCGCGCTGCTGGTTCTCGCGCTGCTGGTTCCCGCGCTGCTGGTTCCCGCGCTGCAGCTGAATTCGCGGGCGACATATGGAAAGGCGTCACGGTAAGGGGAGGAAAGGGGCGGAGGGGAGTCACAGCAAGGGGAGCGCGCTACGGGGCGGAAGGCGGAAGCGGCGGAAGGGAAGCATGGGGCAGAGAGGAAGGACGGGGCGGAAGACGCGGTTGGGGAAGGGAAGGTGGGCACGGGGCGGAGAGCGGATACGGTTGAGCGCAACCATGACGGGCGCGGCGGGCAGGGGAAAGATGCAGCGGGGGGAGAGGGGAGGGGGTGGACGGGGAGAGGCGGGGTGGAGCGCGGAAGGAGCGCGGGAGTGGGGGTGGATGAGGCGATGGAAGGTGCGGCGAGGAAAGGGTGGAGAGCGAGAAGGCGAGACGCCATCAAAATGTTCCAATTGAATAATCCTTGGTACCACCAAGGAACAGCTCCTGTAGCTCAGTTGGTTAGAGCGTATGGCTGTTAACCATAAGGTCGGTGGTTCAAGCCCACCCGGGAGCGGCGTTTTTGCTTTCTTGCCGTCGCATTATGGACCCCACCACGGCGAAATGGTGTCGGGTTGTTGAAGGTCCAGTTGCGCGGAAGTGCAACTGACCCGCGTCAGGCTTGACAGCGGGGACTTCGACCGAAACCCCTCGAAGAATACGCCCTTGTCGACGGGAAGACAGAAGACCGGAAGTCCCAATTCACGTGCGAGCGGAATGGTTTGACCTTCCCAGTTTCAACTTCCAATTCCAATCCCCAGGGCCCTCGGGATTGTCAGTTATTTTTCTGAATCTTGGATTCCTGCTTCGTCAAGGGAGTGATCCGCTTTTGGTCACACAGGACGGACATCCGCTCTTCATTCCCTGCCGTCCTCGTTGATCCTGTCAAGCGGCGGGTCGAGGATAATCTTTGATTTTAGAGACGCTGGGAATCAGTTCGTTAGGCCCTAGATTCTGAAGGGGTCCCTTTCGCTGCTTTTAGCCGTCGGAGTTAGATCGGTGGAGAGGAGTAGATCGCGGCAATGGGGATCGTGGAGGATTTCAGATCTGTGACGTCCACATTCTATAACGAGTACAGCAAAACGCCCGTCAAGCTTAAGGTTCGCGAAATTCTAATGCTGCTAGGAAAATGGACATTGTGACATTAGCAAGGGCCGCGGTACCGTGGGGTGCAATCAGCATCAGCCGCACAGCTGTGAGCGATTTTGAAACGATGGTGTAGGGTACCGCGTGGCGTGCAATCAGCATCAACCGCGCGTGCCGTCGAGAGCATCTGCTTTGTTTCTCTTTTTTTTCCATTTATTTTCCATCTCCCACTTCACCATTACCTTGTCTCGTTCTGATAAAAGCCCGTCCAATCGGGAATTCGATGTCCCTCGTGTTGACTTTTCCCTGTTCGCAATTATCGGGAATTTTGCAGGCCCTCGATCTGCTCGTGGTGTACGCGTTGCTGACGGCTGGGATTCAGGTACACACAACGTGCCGTCCATGTCCACGTGTCACCCACGTCCGTGTCCACGTGTCGGCCGTTCCCCCACCACTCACCAGTTCGCGTGCATGGCGCTGGCGTGGTCGTTCCCGTTCGACGCTTTTCCTCGTACTTAAGTTTCTGACTTTAAAGTTTTCCTTCAACGCCTCTTCCGTACCTTGTAGTCGACTGAACCACCCTTCAACTCCTGACCGATCCCCCACTACTGTTTGTGCATGTCGCTTCCTTCTCCCCCCCCCTCTTCCCCCCTCCTCCCCACCCCCACCCCTCCTTTTTCCCCTTTCTCCGCGTGCCAGTTACCCAGTCCACATGCATGGTGCTGTTAGGGTCATTCCCCGTGAACACCTGTAGACAACTTTAACTTCACTTCGCTCTCCTCCCCTTCCTCCCCCTTTCCCCTTCCCCCGCGTGCCAACCACGCAGTTCGCGTACATGGCGCTGGTGGGGTCGTTCCCCTTCAACGCGTTCCTCGCTGGTCTGCTCTCCTGTATCGGGACCGCCGTGCTCGCAGGTAGCTTTGGATGTGACATGCATTCAACTTCCAGTCGTTCCACTGCCTCTTTGGGCACTCACTCGCGACTCCCTTCTCACTGCCCCCTTCCCGCCTCAACAAACGCATCTTTCACAGCTCTCCTCAACTCCTTTTGGATCCAAACCCTCTTAGTGCATTGAGTCACTTTTGAGAAATCTCAAAAGTCCTTCCTTCACGTATCAGCAATGCCTCCTTCCATGCAATTGCACATTCCCCCATCCCTCCCCGCCAACCCACCCCATCACCTCTTCTTTCTCTCTCCCCCTTGCTCTCCCCGCGCCACAGTGTGTTTGAGAATGCAGGCCAACAAGGAGAACAAAGACTTCCAGGTTTGCTCCTCCCTCCTCTTTGCCCTCCCCCACGCCCGAACCCCCGAACTCCTCGTCTTGTCCTGACCACTTCTTCTCACGTGCTCTTCTACTTCCCATGTCCGCGACAAGACTCGATTCTGAGCCTTCGATTCTGCGCCCACCACGTACGCTCTGTATTTGTGTGTCTGCTTCACGTGCTGATTCTCGTGTCATACATTTGATTCACGTGCCATGCACGTGCTTCACCGCCATGCACGTGCTTCACCGCCATGCACGTGCTTCACCGCCATGCACGTGCTTCACCGCCATGCACGTGCTTCACCGCCATGCACGTGCTTCACCGCCATGCACGTGCTTCACCGCCATGCACGTGCTTCACTGCCATGCACGTGCTTCACCGCCATGCACGTGCTTCACCGCCATGTGCCCACCACTTACGCTCTGTATTTGTGTGTCAGCTTTGCACTTTCGTCGTGTTAAAACTTCCCCCCCACCACTCTCCTTCACCCACCCTGCCGTCCCCCTACCCCTCCACCCATCCGCCCCTCCCTCCAACTGCCGGTTCTGCCTGTAACAGGAGCTGCCAAACGAGCGCGCCTTTGCTGATTATGTGCTCTGTAGCCTCATGCTGTACTTGGTCGTTATCAACTTCATTGGTTAACTTACTACCATGACAATTGCAGGATTTAAACTGTTATTATACTGATACGGTATACGAAATTGAAGCAGGATCTCTCCGTCCCCTGTGTACGTATGTTGTTTGAAGCTTAATACACTTTGCAGTCTACAGAGCCGTGCGTGGTGTGACTGGCACCGTATTTGCTTTGCATATATCAATTCGGTTTTGATAATTATATTGTATTGATTAGCCCTGGGGAATGGCTCAAATGGAGATTACAATAAAGCTGTTTCCGGCCCCACAACCTGTAGCATCATGGCATCATGCCAGCGTGCCATCATGCCAGCGTGCCATCATGCCAGCGTGCCATCATGCCAGCGTGCCATCATGCCAGCGTGCCATCATGCCATCGTGCATGCCATCATGCCATCGTGCATGCCATCATGCCATCGTGCATGCCATCATGCCATCGTGCATGCCATCATGCCATCGTGCATGCCATCATGCCATCGTGCATGCCATCATGCCATCGTGCATGCCATCATGCCATCGTGCATGCCATCATGCCATCATGCCATCGTGCATGCCATCATGCCATCATGCCATCGTGCATGCCATCATGCCATCGTGCATGCCATCATGCCATCGTGCATGCCATCATGCCATCGTGCATGACATCATGCCATCGTGCATGCCATCGTGCATGCCATCATGCCATCGTGCATGCCATCATGCCATCGTGCATGCCATCATGCCATCGTGCATGCCATCGTGCATGCCATCGTGCATGCCATCATGCCATCGTGCATGCCATCATGCCATCGTGCATGCCATCGTGCATGCCATCGTGCATGCCATCATGCCATCGTGCATGCCATCATGCCATCTTGCATGCCATCATGCCATGGTGCATGCCATCATGCCATCGTGCATGCCATCATGCCATCTTGCATGCCATCATGCCATCATGCCATCTTGCATGCCATCATGCCATCTTGCATGCCATCATGCCATCTTGCATGCCATCTTGCATGCCATCTTGCATGCCATCTTGCATGCCATCTTGCATGCCATCTTGCATGCCATCTTGCATGCCATCTTGCATGCCATCTTGCATGCCATCTTGCATGCCATCATGCCATCTTGCATGCCATCTTGCATGCCATCTTGCATGCCATCTTGCATGCCATCTTGCATGCCATCATGCCATCTTGCATGCCATCATGCCATCTTGCATGCCATCTTGCATGCCATCTTGCATGCCATCATGCCATCTTGCATGCCATCTTGCATGCCATCTTGCATGCCATCTTGCATGCCATCATGCCATCTTGCATGCCATCTTGCATGCCATCTTACATGCCATCATGCCATCTTGCATGCCATCATGCCATCTTGCATGCCATCTTGCATGCCATCATGCCATCGTGCATGCCATCATGCCATCGTGCATGCCATCATGCCATCGTGCATGCCATCATGCCATCGTGCATGCCATCATGCCATCGTGCATGACATCATGCCATCGTGCATGCCATCGTGCATGCCATCGTGCATGCCATCATGCCATCGTGCATGCCATCATGCCATCGTGCATGCCATCATGCCATCGTGCATGCCATCGTGCATGCCATCGTGCATGCCATCATGCCATCGTGCATGCCATCATGCCATCGTGCATGCCATCGTGCATGCCATCGTGCATGCCATCATGCCATCGTGCATGCCATCATGCCATCTTGCATGCCATCATGCCATGGTGCATGCCATCATGCCATCGTGCATGCCATCATGCCATCTTGCATGCCATCATGCCATCATGCCATCTTGCATGCCATCATGCCATCTTGCATGCCATCATGCCATCTTGCATGCCATCTTGCATGCCATCTTGCATGCCATCTTGCATGCCATCTTGCATGCCATCTTGCATGCCATCTTGCATGCCATCATGCCATCTTGCATGCCATCTTGCATGCCATCTTGCATGCCATCTTGCATGCCATCTTGCATGCCATCTTGCATGCCATCATGCCATCTTGCATGCCATCTTGCATGCCATCTTGCATGCCATCTTGCATGCCATCTTGCATGCCATCATGCCATCTTGCATGCCATCTTGCATGCCATCTTGCATGCCATCTTGCATGCCATCATGCCATCTTGCATGCCATCTTGCATGCCATCTTGCATGCCATCTTGCATGCCATCATGCCATCTTGCATGCCATCTTGCATGCCATCTTACATGCCATCATGCCATCTTGCATGCCATCATGCCATCTTGCATGCCATCTTGCATGCCATCATGCCATCTTGCATGCCATCATGCCATCTTGCATGTCATCATGCCATCTTGCATGTCATCATGCCATCTTGCATGCCATCATTCATGCCATCTTGCAAGTCATCATGCCATCTTGCATGCCATCATGCATGCCATCATTCAT